AGCCCTTGCTCCCTGCGATCTCTCGCTCCGGCATGAGCCAGCCGTCCTCGACCGTGCCGGTATGGAAGATGACGAAGGTGCAGCTGTTGGCCGAGGCGAACGCCCGAGGGCTGGCAGTGAATCCCCGCTGGACGTGCCCAGAACTGAGGACGGTGCTCAACGCGGACGCCGAGTACCACCGGACTCCGGGGAACCCAGTGCCCAAGGGGCTGAGCTCGATGACGCTGGCGGAGCTGAAGAGCGAGGCGGAGAAGCTCGGCATCCCCACCTCGACCAAGGAGACGCGGGGCAGCCTGATGCTGAAGGTGAGGGACGCGGTGACGCCCGACACGACCGTGATGGCGATCGGGCGATTTCGCGGAAGCAGCTACGCGGACATCCCGGAGAACTACGCGCAGTGGGCCTCGGACGAGGAGAAGGCGAACGGGGACAACATGTCGCCAGATCTGAAACGATTCGTTCTGTGGAGGCGACATCGGCGAACCATGGAGCCAAAGACACCGGTGGTGAAGCGCGGCTACAAGGACCCCGAGAAGGATGCGAAGGTGCCACCCCCTCCCCTCAGCGAGACCGGCTCCTCTGCGTGGGCCGTGGTCGAGGACTCGGAGGGCCCTTTGACCGGATGGCGACCGATCGCGCCTTCGGTGAGTTCGGACACATCGTGGAATCCAAAGGGAAAGGCCACGCGACCGAGGACCCCCGAGTCGAAGGGGCCCATGGACCAGGACATCGACCCGGACACGATCTCGGAGATCCAAGCGCTCGAGGCGAGGTTGGCGGTGCTCAAGGACAAGTGTGGAGTTCACGGCCGCAAGTGAGCTGCAGTGGCGGGCCTACAGGGTCGCCCGATGGCGCCTCTTTTCGCTCTTGTTCTTCCGGTTTGGAAGACGGGGCAGAGGAGGTGCACCTTTCTTCGCGGGCCCTCGCGAGGATCGGAGAGGACCTGACCGGGACACGACAGCACCACGAACACCCCGGTGAACTTGCCGCCCTGCGTGCTTTACAAGAACGGGACTTCTCTTTCGACCGCATCGCCGAGATCCTGACACACTACGACTTCTCTGCTTGCCCTACCAACCGAGCTGCTGTTCACCAGGATGGTGGGGGAGAGCGCGTGGCCCTAGGATATTACGCCTACGGCAACTTCAAGGGGGTTTGCAAGAACACAGTGCGTTGGAGCCACCTCACCCAGTATGTCAATGCGTTCCTCCTGGACCACGCCGGGGGCAACCTGGAACAAGGCCGGGCAACCTACTGGGGTGCAGTGACTCTGTTGCGCAACTGTCCCGCTGCCATGCACACCGACAAGAACAACCTCAAGGGGAGCCCCAACTACGTTGTGAGCTTCGGCGGCGGGAATGGTGGTGGCCTCTGGGTTGAATCACCCGGGGGCGGATGCTGGCGAAGAGATTCCCGAGGTCAAGACGTCGAGGGCACCATCATCGACACCGACCGCCAGGTATGGGAGTTCGATCCACGCCTGAGGCACGCGTCCGAGCCTGGTTCAGGGTCCCGATGGACGATTGCCGCCTACACGCCGAGGACTTTGCCCGACGCCAACAAGACAGAGAAAAAGGTTCTTCGCCACTTCGGCTTCCCTTTGCCTTCGGTGGCCCAGATCCGCAATACCCGGATCGAGCGCGATGTACACGAGGTCAAGAGCGGCTACAGCAACAGCGCTACGGGCCCCGGGAAGGTCCCGATGCCCAGGCGAAGCCAAAGGAAAGCTATGTGGAAGACCGCTGCCTTCCTGAGCGTGATGTACACTACGATGCTCTCGTCTATGGGGAGAGTGGTGGACGAGTCTGTGCCGGTGCGACACCAGCCCGAGGTTGCCCTGTTGGAGATCGGGGGCTTCACGTCCACTTGCCGGACGGCCGAGTACTGTGGCGACTCAGTGAAGGTGATGGAACCCGTGCTCACCGAGGACGTTCTCTACAACGACCACCCCGCGGACTTACCGTTTGGCTTCGTCGAAACCACGGTGATACGGCATTGTCCAGGGCAACTCTGGATACACGTTCGTCCAGAATGGAAGGACCCCGAGATCTACTTCGACATCGTGGAAGCCGCCGGACGACAACTTCGAGAAGGAAGGACAGTGGTGCTCGAGCGCAACGTCGAGGAGGACGACCTCTGGGAGAAGGTGACCACTGGATGGGCGGAGGCAGGGTACTTTACCCACGGGGACCGCGACGAGGATGGGAACGAGCTCCTCCGCGTCACCTACGGCACCGAGGACGTGGAACTCCACGAAGTGTTCGTGGGAGAAGCAGCAGATGGACCAATCCCCGCACATGGAGAACCTGCTGACGGAGAACCTGGTGAAGGCGATGAAGCCCTCGCCGAACGTGGGGCAAAGGCAATCCGGTTTCCCCCGAGCGTACCGGGAAGGATTGCAAGCAGCCTCCGCAGGCTGCATCAGAATCTCGGCCATCCCAGCACCATCGACTTCAGTCGTCACCTGAGACTGGCAGGAGCTTCTCGAGAAGTGCTCAAGGCGGCGAAAGCTTTGGAGTGCGAAGTTTGCAAGAGAGCGAAGGCCCCTGCCGTCGCCAAACCCGCTAAGGTGGCCCCTTGTCTACGCTTCAACCAGATCATCGGCGTCGACCTCTTCTATGTCCACGACACCAATGGAGATCGACACCAGCTTTTGTCTATGGTGGACTTCTCTTCTTCTTACCACGTCGTCGTGCCCGTGGCCCGCAAGGATACCCTCACCTTGGAGAAGGCCTACTGTGAGCACTGGCTCAACACTTTCGGTGCTCCGGCAATGATTGCCGTGGATCTAGAGAACGGCCTTGAGAAGTCTCTGGCGAGAGTCGGAGATTGGACCGGGACCCGCATCCGCAATGCCGCGGGTCAGGCTCACTATCAAGCCGGCTACACCGAACGACAGGGCGGGATCTGGAAGGCGATTTTCGCGAAGCTATGTGACGAGCTTTCTGTGACCAAGGCCGAGATCACTTTAGCCATTGGGGCGGTGTCCAATGCCAAGAACAAGCTTGCTCGGATCAGCGGCTATAGTCCAGCCCAACACGTCTTCGGCTACCTTCCCAACGACCCCGACGACTTGCTCAACGGCCCGCACGCCGGCGACCCGACCGAGGAGGACATCATTGACGACCGCCACGCTCAGGAGGTTGCCATGAGAAGCGCGGCTAGGGCCGCGTACTACCACGTCCAGTCTGATGAGCGAGTTCGCAGGGCCCTGTCCGGAAGGACCCGAGTTATCTCCCGAGCCCCCGAGTGTGGAGAAAGGGTCTTCTACTTCCGGAAGACAAAGAACAACAAGCGCGGGATATGGATGGGACCCGGAACAGTCATAGGCTTTGAAGGGGTGAACGCCTGGGTCACTCGAGGAGGACGTTGCGTGCTGTGCTCGCCGGAGCACTTGAGGCTGGCTACACCCGAGGAATTGGGACAAGCTTTCAGCTTGCGGGCAGCCCGTGAAGACTTGGATCGCCTACTCAACGCCGAGGACGACGAGGAGATCTTCGAGGACGAGAATGCCGAGGCCGGAGGGATTGGTGATGTTGACTTCGATGCCGAGGACGACCCCGACGGAGACGTTGCCATGGCCGAGATGGACCACGGAGAGCCACCTGAGGACCGACGAGGAGTTCGACGAGGTCCGCAAGAGGCACCACCGCTGGTGCTCAAGAGACAGCGTCGCAAAGGACATCAAGATGCCCAAGCTGTGCTCATGATGAAGCNNCGGTCTCGGGAAAAGGCCCTTGAGAAGGAGATCCCCTGGTCTCTCATTCCCGAGGAGATGAGGCCGAGTTTCCGCGCTGCAGAGGCCAAACAATGGGCCGAGCACGTCGACAACAAGGCCATCACAGTGCTGTCGGTCGCCGAGAGCGAGCGCATCCGAGAGACGACGCCGCCCGAGCGCATTTTGTCCTCGCGCTACGCCTACAAAGATAAACATATGGGGCTCAGGCGAGTCAACCCAAGCACGCCTTGGAAACCGAAGGCTCGGTTGGTGGTGGCAGGACATGCCGACCCAGACGTGGCCAGTGGAGAGCTCACGACGGACTCCCCTACGGTTGCCCGATCCTCACTTCTTACCGCCCTGCAGATTTGTGCTTCCAAGGGATGGCAGGTGGCAGCCGGCGACGTGCAGGCTGCTTTTCTACAAGGAGTCGAACTACGACGAGATTTGTGGATCTCCCAACCACGTGGGGGAGTCGAAGGCCTAGACCCTAGGCAAATCGCCCGTGTCAACAAAGGCATATTCGGGCTTACTGAGTCGCCGAGGATGTGGTACGACCGCCTGGCCGACGTGCTCACCACCGAGATCTTCCATTACAAGGAGGTCCAGTACCGACTGGTGCAGAGCCCTTTGGACCCGTGTGTTCTCCTGCTGATGCGCGTCGATGGCGACTTCGAGCCCGAGGCCCTCCTCACCATCCACGTGGACGACATCCTCATCGGGGCCCCCACCGAGCTCAACCGGTTCCTGCAGGCCGAGATCAGCCGCCTCTTCCCCGTAGATGACTGGATCGAGGGAGCTTTCGAGTACACCGGCTCCTTCATCGAGGTTTCCGATGAGGGGATCTCTATCAACCAGGCGGCCTTCGTCGACGGCAGGCTGTTCACCGTCGACATCCCCAGAGGCCAAGACGGGAAGTCCCCGGCGGACGAGGAGCAGACTATCGACAACAGGTCGTTGCTGGGGGCATTGAGCTGGCTGAGCAGCCAGAGCCGGCCCGATTTAGCCTGTGGGGTAGCCATGTCACAGCAACTTCAGCGAGCACCGTCTACCGACGATGTCCGCTTCGTGAACCGACTCACCGCCCAGGCCAAGGAGCACAAGGAGTTCGGCGTCTACTTGAGGAGGATACCTATCGACCGGGCCGTGTTCATAGCCTACCACGACGCCGGATGGGCAAACGCCGACCTCGAGGACGCAGAGGTCGAGTTCCAGCTCACGCCAGAGGAGATCGAGGCCGGGAAGGTGCACGACTTCTACGACGAGGAGCGCCAGAGGAAGCCCAAGCGACTCGCTTCCAAGGTTGCCTCCCAGATTGGCCACCTGATCATGCTCTTCCCCTACGAGGCACTCGATGGGGAGCATTCGGCGGGGAGCACCCTGGAGTGGAGGAGCCAGAGCTGCAAGCGTGTGTGCCGCTCAACGTTTGGAGCTGAGACTATGGCTGCCGCAGAGGGCTTGGAGGGCGCTCAGTACATGAGGGCGCTGTTCGGAACGCTTCTCACCGGACGGCTGATGGGCCATGCCGAAGCAAGACGGAGGTGGCCTATAGTCTGTTTGTCGGACTGCAAGTCGCTCTTCGACTTTCTCCACAAGACCGGGGTTCCCAAGGTGCCTTCCGACCGGAGGCTTGCCATCGACCTGGCGGCCCTGAGGCAAGAACTGCGTCTTGAGAAGTGGTCCGATAGGCTACC